TAGGGTTTAGGGTTTAGGGTTTTGGGTTTGGGGTTTAGGGTTTAGGGTTGAGGGTTGGCACACCTTTCTGCAATGTTGATCGTTGGATTTAGGGTTTTAGGGTTTAGGGCTTAGGGTTTAGGGTTTAGCGGTTAGGATTTAGGGGTTCAGGGTTTAGGGTTACACCTTGGGTACTGCCTCCCCCTCAGTAGCAGTTGCACAAAAAACTATATTGCAAATTTGTAAGGCTCTGAATAGTAGCCCTATTATTGATTGTTACTGTATTATGGGGGCAGGGCGGTACCCAACCTACACCCCAAATCGTAAGCCCTAAACCCCAAATACTAAACCCTACACCCCAATCCGTGAGCCCTAAACCCCAAACACTAAACCCTCCACCCCAAATACTAAACCCTACACCCTAAACCGTAAGCCCTAAACCCCAAACACTAAACCCTCCACCCCAAATACTAAACTCTCCACCCCAAGCCCCAAGCCCGAAACCCTACACCCCAAACTGGTTTAGGGTTTAGGGTTTAGGGTTTAGGGTCCCTAAACCCTAAACCCTAAACCCTAAACCCCAAGCCCGGAACCCTCCCCGGCCGTTAGATCCCGAACTTCAAGCCCTGAAGTCTGAAACCCTGGTGGAGCCATCCCCCTGCAGCCCCGAAGGCCTACTTTTGAAGGGCGTATTTAGGGGTTTAGGGATTAGCGTTAGGGTTTCGGGTTTAAGGTTTAGGGGTTTAGGGCCTAGGGTTTAGGGTTCAGGGCATAAATTGTCATCGTCTAAGGTTTCGGGTGAATCCTAAATGGTCCTAAATCATGAGGCCTGAGCTCTCCCCGTAAAAAGTGCCTCAAGGCTTAAATCCTGCAACCTATTCTCCCGAAACCCTAAACCCCTCCTAAACCCTAAACCTAAACCCTAAACCCTAAACCCTAAACCCTAAACCCCTCCCTTACCCTAAACCCTAAACCCGAAACCGTGCTCCCCAAGTTGGCAGGTCTTTCACCAGCTCGGCCGCAAGGAGGAGGCCCTGCCTCCTTAGAATGGGTGGTTTGGGGCACATCATGCTATACTTATATTGGGGGACCCGAAGAACTATTGTTACAACAACCTAGAAAGTCCCAACAGTCCGTGCGGGTTGGGGTTTCGGTTCGAGCGTTTAGGAGTTTTGTTTTCCAGTTTGACCCGAACCCATTAAACACAAGCCGTTAACCATCGGCCTCAATGGTTTCCCATCAAAGCTACCTGCATGCGTTGAGCCGGAAGGTGTTGGGTTCAGGGTTTGGGATTTAGGGTTCAGGGTTTAGGATCTTAGGGGTTCGATTTGTTAGGTGTACATCAGGCTCGGCTGCCGCGCTAACAGGCAAAGCCTAAAGCCTAAAGCCTAAACCCTAAACCAAAACTAAGCGAAAGCCTCTTACATGAATAAGCAAAGAACGAAAGCCACAGTCAATATATCAGACACGTCGCATGTCCTCAACCGGAACAAGACCGCGAATCCTAGTTCCTAAACTCCATGCCAGACGCTAGCCTATATGATGCCAATCGGAGCGCTAATGTTATAAGCCCCATATACCTATACCTGGAGGTTCATGGGTAGCTATAAGTGGGGTGATAAGTCCCCAAGTATGGGTTGTAAGTATAGTTACCCTACTTATAACCCGACTTATAACTACCCATGAACCTCCAAGTATGCCCCAACTCCCTAAAGTCTTGAACCCGAAGCTTTCCGACATCAAAGCCCTCATTCTAATCATTACGACCCTTACGTTAGATCCTGTCAGTGGCTTCCCATGCCCAAAGAAACCCAAACCATAAGCCCTAAAACCCAAACCCACGCCCGCAAATACGAAAGAGGCCTTAAAAATTACCTATACTATTTTGACGGGTTCCTTATTATAACTATATGATGGGCCCCAAACCATTATTCTAATTATTAAGGTGCCTACATTAGCGCAATGGAAGGCCTGGGACGCTTATCGGCAGTTGCTGGCCTTGGCGCCCCAGCAAGGGCTGAAGGCGAGTTGGGGCATCTGGTTTGGGTTTGGGGTTTGGGGTTTTGGGTTTTGGGTTTAGGGTTGTGGGTTTTGCTTTTAGGGCCTAGGGTTTAGGGTTTAGGGTTGAAAAAAGGTGTTTAAGGGCACTACAAGACTGCGACACGGATTTTACAAGCATTCCATCAGTCTGGGCTGTTACGACGGCTTTATACCTTAAGCTACGAAAACCTACCTTATTGTTGGTAGGGTCCTTCTAACTTCTAAATTAGGGTTTATAATAAGAACCTGCAGGCAAGCAAGTCATGGTAATTTGAGGTAGTTTTGTAAAGGTACGGTTGATGAGATAACTCCTGCATTACCCAAAATAAGGGATTTACCATCATTCCCATAGTTCAGGGTCCTTACAGTAGGGTTTAGGGTTTATGGCATAGGGTTTAGGGTTTAGGGTAGCCAGAAAGTCGGAACATCATTATCCTCATGTCCTTAAGGTAAAGTATAGGGAATTCCCGCACTAATCATCCCAAATCAATGTTCCAACTGTCTGGGGTTCACTATAAACCCCTATAAACCCTAAACCCCAAAACCCCTAAACCCTAAACCCCTAAACCCTAAACCCCAAAACTAGGTTAGGGTCCTTAAGGTAATCCAGGATTTCTATCATCAGCCATGTCATCAAGGGTTCTTCTAGGAGGGCCCAGGGTGCTGGGCATGAGGATTCAGGGCTTCGTGTCTTTGGGTTTGGCTTCGTGGCCTGGGGGTTTGGGGTTTAGGGTTTTGGTGGCTTCGGGTTTTGGGGTTTAGGGCTTTGGGTTTTTTGATTTAGGGTTTAGGTCTTAGGGTTCAGGGTTCAGGGGTTTAGGGTTCAGGATTCAGGGGTTTAGGGGTTCAGAGGTTTAGGGTTTCAGGGGCTTAGGGTTTTAGCAGAACTTCGGGCTCGGAGCCTGGATCTTGTCAACTGGATTCTGTTGAACGCTGTGTGACGACCCGAAGCCCTAAACCCACTCGTTGGGCCAAAACATAGGGACCTAAATGCTTACCTATGCTCTTTTTGTTTTTTTGGTTCTTATTGCAAATATAGTAGAGTATATCACCAAACCCTGTTCGTCATTAAGGCCCTGCATCACATACGGCTGTGCAGGCTGGGGCTTGGCCGATAGGGGTTGTAGTAGGGTTTAGGGTTCAGGGTTTACGGTTTAGGAATTTAGAGTTTAGTGTTTAGGGTTTTAGGGTTCAGGGTTTAGGGTTTAGGAATTTAGAGTTTAGGGTTTAGGCAAGTTTGCGAAAACAACAACTTGCGCCACTCCTATCCTAAACCCCCAGACCTTCCGAGACCCGCATGAGCAAAATCATGCAACCCTTGTAAACCCCCTGCAAAACCCTGTAGAACCGTAATCCCCTCAGAGAGCCCTTTAAAAGTAAGGGTACATGAAGCTCTCTAGCAACCCGAAAAACTAAGCCCTTCAAAAGCACCTTAGAAAATCTCGGGAGACCTCGAAGACCCAGTGCTTCTGACGAAGGTGCGGCGGCACGAAACCTGCGAAACCCTGGCCTTGTGGCTTGAGGACGGGGGCTTGAGGTTTTAGGAGTTTCAAGTTCCAGGGTTTTAGGCTTGAGCACGGGGTTTGGGTTTCTAGTTTTCAGGGTCTACGGTTTCGATCTAGGTTTCAGGGTTAAGGGTCCTGCCATGTGGTTTTAATAAGCTTGAGGACTGGGATTTTAGGGCCGGGTCCAGGTTTCGGTTCTTGGCTTGTTTAGACGGAAAACATATAATACAATGTGTGTATATATAAATTTCCGTATCTATACAGATGTTTGTAGGGAGAGCCAGGAAAGTTTTTGAGAGAGAGAGAGAGAGAGGGGAGGGGTTAATGAATTATCCGACAGGATGCTGGTGTATATGATATTATGCTGCGATGAGCAACGGGTTTTCAGGGACAGTTGGCACTAATTGCTCAACCCCCCCCCCCCCCTCGGCTTAATATAGAAGCCTAAATGCTTACCTGTACTATTTTGGGGGTTCCTTGTTATAGCTATACTATAAAGGAGCCCAGAGCCCTATTCTAATTATTAAGGCTTCTACATAAAATTCGTGTTGAAAAGCTTGAGGTGGACCACCGACCAAGGCTCCTACGGTTGATGATCGAAATCCTGCATTACCCGAAGGAACATCCCAGAATTCCCATAGTTTATGATCCTTGCAGGTAATGCAGGGTTTATACCCTCCAAAGTAGTCTGCCTGTCTGGTTGAGAGCATGGTCCGGAAGTTTGTGAGGGTACGGCTACTTCACTAGCCTAAAGGGTGCAAGGTACCTATAGAGTAGACTGTAGGGTATCTATATTAGGAGTCCTTATTATGATTTGGGAAAGTATCCCCCCATAGCAGTACCCAGGACCCTTTGAGTAGGGCGGTGATGGCAATGGCAATTGGGTTAGGGTTTAGGGATACTTGGAGGCCCAAGGGACTTAGTAAGTAGGTTATAAGTAGAGTTATAAGTACCCTGACTGGAGTTATCCTAATTTGAACCCTATTTATAACCGACTTACTAAGTCCCCTGGGCCTCCAAGTATGGATTGCTCGGGCAGACTTGAAACAACTTGGGACCCGATCCCCGAATTACGCAGGACCCTTAAGCTGATTTCTCAGGGTTTTCAGCAAAAGGTTTGTGGGATTTAGGGGTTGGGATTTAGGGTTTGGGTTTAGGGTTTGGGCTTTGGGCTTTGGGGGTTAGGGTTGAGGGTTCGGGGTTCATGTCCAGACGTGGAGCATGGGTGTTGGTTGTCAGGACAGACTGCTGGAGTTGGAGGTGACGTGGCGCACTTCTACAAGAGGGCAATCTTGGAGGTTAGCATCCTAAACCCTAAGCCCTAAACCGGTTAGTATGCTAAAACCTTATGCCCCAAGATTTATAGTCTGAGTCCTATATTTCCTGAAGCGATTCCAAGGGTATCCAGTCGAGGCATTGAGGCTTTGCGGAGATACTTTGGGTTTTTGTTTAGGGAAGTTTTGGGCTTAGGGTTCGGGGTAGGGGTTGCATTTGGCGGTTTAGGGCAGTGTAGGCGAGACTGTGTAGGGTCGTAGCTCTTCGAGTCACAGGCGTTTTGGGGCTCATGGTACAGAGGTCTCCTTAATCAGTGGTAGTATTCCCATCTTGTCTTTGTTGACTATGCTTAAGACCGAAGAACCGTGATCTAACTTAATAGGCGTGAATAGTTCTACTTTCATTTCCAACTATCGTTTAGGTGTGGGTCTGATGGTCCGAGTGCCCATGTTCGGTTAAAGCTCCAGCCCTGAACCCTAGACCCTAAACCCTGAAACCTAAACCCTAAACCATGAACCCAACACCCTAAACCCTGAACCCTAGACCCTAACCCTTATAAACCCTATCCGGTTTAAAGTGTCAGCCAAGGCACCGGCTGACATCATCTACCCAGAACTGTCCTCTGGCTTTCGCCAAGAGCTTTGTGCCCGGCAGAAGGCGGTTTGGTATGGCCTCTTACCGGCGCTGATAAAAAAAACAAATCCATAGAGGCTTGTACATCTTTTCTAGGTTTCCATGAGGTTTAAGGGAGGTTATAAGCTATAAGGTTTCATGGATTGGGTCAGATCGGGTGTATAGGCTTTTTAAGGGTATATATATATATATATATATATATATGTATATATGTATATAGATATAGATATAGATATAGATATAGATATAGATATACATATATATATATATATATATATAAAGAGCTTTGTGCAGCTTCTATGGGCTTGTTATGAAGTTGAAAGGAGGCTCTACCGTTGCATAGGTTTCATTACAGCCCGAACCCCAAACCCTAAACCCTAAACCCTAAACCCTAAACCCTAACATGACGGAGTTTGTAGGGCTGTAGATGGAGCCATTGCACGGCAAGGGAAGACGACAGAACACGCAGAGCCTGAACCCGGAGCAGTCCAAACTCAACCCTAAACTGGCCCTACTTGGAGGCCCAGGGGGCTTAGTAAGTCGGTTATAAGTAGGGTTATAATTGGGGTATCTCCAGTTGGGGTACTTACAACTCTACTTATAACCTACTTACTAACTCCCCTGGGCCTCCAAGTAAACCCTAAACCGTCCAAACTCAACACCCTTTTTGTGCGAGACTTTGAGCCCTCGTCCATTATACCCTGAGGGTTCAAGGTCTGGGCCGGTTACAATCACAACCCTTGCAAGGGAAACCGGCTTGTCCAAAACTCCTGACAAATAAGCGTTCAACCACATGGAAAGTTCTCTAAAGTAGGATCCCTTCTAGGGGTCCTTTGTATAAGGGTGCCGTACTATTTTGGGGGGCCTAAAAAGGGACCCTCAATTTAGAGAGCTACCCACATGAAGGATCTCTCTCTATACTTGAACATATAGATACTGCCTACTTAAGACGGGCTCGGAGTCTCTCGGGTGGAGGGGTTTAGGGTTTAGGAGTTTAGGGTCTTGGGGTTTAGGGAAAGTAAGGATATCCCCGTGCTTCAGGGTTTTTAGGAGACTAGATACCCTTTGTGTAGATCGCATTTTCTAGTTTCTGGGTTCCCACGGTGCATTCTTGTGGCAGAGTGTAGGGTTTCTATATTAGGAATCCTTATGCTGATTTGGGAAATCATCCCCTATAACCCTACACCCTAAACTCTGCCTAGGATCCTTTGGGGTCTGGTTTGGGGATGCTGTGCGCTGTGAGGCATCCGGCTTCCTTTATAAGGAGCCCCCGATCCCCTTACAGCCTGATCCTCGAAAAAAATCCGGACGAAAAGAGGCCCTACACTGAATTTTAGTAGAGCTCCGGCTTTAGTTTTTATTTTTTCAGCTGTGTCGGTGTTTTGTGATACAGGTAGTGGGCTTTACGTTTGTTTCTGCTTTGCGTTTCGTGTACGATTCTAACAAAAAGCACACAGCAACAGCTTTCACCTTGGCGGTCGAAGGCGTCGGAGACGCGGAGCTCCGAGGTGCAACAAAGGACTGCGCGAAGCCTTGGATCTAGGGTTTAGGGTTCCTTTAAAAGGATCTAGGGTTTTAGGGTTCGGGGGTTTTGGGTCTAGGGTTTAGGGTTCTGAGAGGGGTGTGAGGGACTTGCTAGGCATGTCCCCTGATATTTAAGATTTCTGAAAGGGCTTTGCGGGGTTTCCGAGAAGATCAAATACAGCATCCCCTAGTAGACTTATAGTCCCTTCATCTACATAGACTTCCTTGTATCTTTAATTGTTATCGCAAGTCCTCTATCAAGTGGTGCATATGCAAAGCCAACTCGCAGCTCAACATAAACCCTAAACCCTAAACCTAAAGCCCTAAACCCTAAACCCTAAACCCAAAACACTCGTCGCCATGAGGAGGATGTTGCATAGTCAGAAAACTTTAAGTCGTTGGGGGCATGCCTTGGTCTGATTCTTAGGGTTTAGAGTTTAGTGTTTAGGGTTCAGGGTTTAGGGTTTAAGGCTGCAAACACCAGATATCGCTCTGCTCGACAACGTTTCTGGCATTGGCTGTGTCAAAAAGTCTGGCGCAGGTGAAAGTGTTTCGGAAGTGAACATGAAAAAGTTGAACGAGATCCGTGGCTATGAGTGGCAGCGCTTCCTCATGGAGACTTTTGTGCTGCCATTATTGCGCTCCCGAGTTTGTTTCATTGGCACCAGAGGTGGCAACCTGACAAAGATCGCAGACATGGTTAAATGCCGCGAGGCAGCCACAATCATGTCACGACATCACCTTGAAACGTTCTCACTGAAGAAAATCTATTTCGTAAGGAACTACATGAGAGAAAACATAGTAAGCAACCCTAAAATCAGAGTTTCGGCTTATGATGGCTAATGGCTGGGTTTGCTTGCGAAGTTTTACACCGATGTCGGTGTCGGAGGGTTTAGGGCGTTTGCGGTTTATCATGACTACTTGGAGGTTCATGGGTGGTTATAAGTGGGGTTATAAGTCCCCTAATATGGGTTATAAGTATAGTTACCCTACTTATAACCTCACTTATAACTACCCATGAACCTCCAAGTAGGGGTTGTGTTGCAGCTGCTTCCACGCAGTCCTCGACACATTCCTTCCACAGGAGAGAGTTCTTCGGATGTGTTTCTGTGTGTCTCGAAAACTGTGGAGTTAATGCCGGGTTTAGGGTTTAGGGTTTAGGGTTTAGGGTCCCTACAGAAACTACCAGGTATTGTAGCATTCACCAATTATGAAGGCCCCTATGCTTGCGTCAGCCTCGTGAACCCTGGCGGTCACCAAGGCTCATATACCTCCAAACTGGGAATCGAGTAGTTGAAGTTTCTGACAGCACCAGCTGAAAGAAGGCCTGGCGCACACGCGACAGACAAACTTTTCTACACAAAATGTGTTTAGACATCAAGATAGCTGCGTTTCTTCCGCAGTGCCCCTTTATTGCTTACATGTTTGCGATTCGGGGCTCGAGGGTTTTTCAGGGTTGTTGTCAGGACACTCAATCCTACACCCTGAACCCTAAACTGACATCGGAGGACATTTCACTCCGAGTTCCAGCAGAACGGTTTTGCGAAGCTTCCACGAGAACAGATACCTCTCAGTGACGAAGCCATTGTCTGCAGCTCAGCTACTGGATTATAGGCTTTGATTGGGTCTAGGGTTTATTTGTACTGGGTTCGGGGCTTCGGGAATTTCTCCTAATATAGGGGTCCACATAATTACCGATGCTATTTTGGGGGGTTCCTTAGTGTGTTTATGGTGGGGTGTGCCCCAAAAACCCTATTCTAATTATTCAGGCCCCTACATTACCTGATTCGGGCTGATGGGTAGATGAGGTGTAATGACTTTTACCAATATCCCATAACATCCCGGCCCACATATTGCACATGAATCCCCCCTACGAGTCTTAGGCGTTGGATTGCTGTTGGTTCCAACCGCGCTTCAGATAGGAGAGTGAGGATGATGCCACTGGAATCAGATGCATGTTACGGGCAGATTCCTGACGTGGTACAGGATTTAGGGTTTGAGGTTTTGGATTTAAATTTAGGTTCAAGAAATTTCGAATCTGGGTTCACCCTGGGTTCAAGCCAAGTTTTCGAAGCATGAAGGCTATTTAGGACCAGGAGTGTTAGATACCCTAATATAGGGGCCTTACTGATTAGAATAGGGTTTGTGGGGTATATTATACTATAGTTACAATAAGGAACCCCCAAAACCCCATTCTAATTAAATTAAAGCCCCTACATTACACCCTCAGCCCTAAACCCTAACCTGTCATTCCGGCTGTATAACCTTGTAGCGGGACCGTGGAAGCTGCTACAGAAGCTCACAAGCGCAAACCTTGAATCGGTTACGGGTATTTAGGGGTTTTGGGGCTGGGCTTTAGGGTTTAGGGTGTCGAGTCGAGTCCTTAGTTAGGCAGTTGACCAGTTGAAGGTTGTCGTTTTCAGGTGTGGCCAGCTTACGGCCTAACATCCCACCTGTCCGCACAATCGTCAAAACCCAATCGCTAAACCCTAAACCCTAAAGCCCTATTTATAACCGCTCATCCCTAAACTAAACCCTAAAGCCCTAAACACTAAACCTTAAAGCCCTAAACCCTAAAGCCCTAAACCCTAAAGCCCTAAACCCTAAAACCCTAATCCCTAAACCCTAAACGCTAAACCCTAAACCTTAAATTTCCTAATCCCTAAACCCTCAACGCTTAACCCTGAGTTCTAAAGCCCTAAACCCTAAACCTCCTAAACCCCCTACTTGGAGGCCCAGGGGACTTAGTAAGTAGGTTATAAGTAAAGTTATAAGTACCCTAACTGGAGTTACCCCAATTATAACCCTACTTATAACCGACTTACTAAGTCCCCTGGGCCTCCAAGTAAAGCCCAAAGCAGTATGGCAGCCTCGCATCCAGGCCTCGGTGGCTGAATACTTCAATGCAGTGCACAAGGCACAAAGCCAAGAAGAGATAGGGTTATTCGGCTTCTGAGGGTTTAGGGTGATTAGGGTTGTTAGGGTTCAGGGTAATTTGGGCTTTTAGGGTTTCTAGTGTGATTAGGGTTGTTAGGGTTTAGGGTTATTTGGGTTCAGGGTTCAGGGTTTGGGTTTGTAAGTATGGGGCTTGCCTAGTTTTCCACCATAAACCTTAGAGCCCTGAGCCCTAAACCCTGCCCCTACTTTGGGATTTGGGCTTCAGAACTTCAGATTTATCTTGTACTAGGTTCCCCAGTAGTACCCTTTTGCCCTTTTTCTTTTCGGGCTCCCTCATTAAAACCAAAATAGTAGGAACAAGGGTGCCCTTATTATTAAGGGGCTACTGGAGAACCAAGTGTCAGTCTTTTTATTCGCGCGGCCGGTTCGGTTCTACTTTGGGCATCACGAGTCGGGAGTTCGCTTGTAGCATATGGGTAGTTTTCTAAATAAGGGTCCCTTTTGGGGTCCTTCTTATAAGCGTGCCGTACTATATTGGGGATCCAGAAAGGGACCCTAATATAGAGAAGTACCCATATGTGTTCGTCTTACTTCAAGCAGGCAGCCCTAAACCCTAAGCCCTCTTCCTTGGGTTTTAGACTCCCGGGTTTCTCGAAACCGCCACAGCTGCTAGCGGACCGTCAGTGATTGACATTGCAATCCTTAACCTTGGACTGCTCTGCTGATAGTTGCTCATGCGTCGTATATGCACATTTAGACATGTCGTGGGCATGCAAGCGTGTTTATGCACGTGTATGCCTGCAGCCATGCATTGTATGTACGGTAACTTCATGTATTTTGCGCCTGTGTTTGCATTTATGTGAGTCAGATTAATATGCGTGTGTGCGTGTGTGTGTGTGTGTGTGTGCGTGTGTGATATGTTTGTATGAATGGGTGTATGCCTAGGTAGGCAGGCATACGGGCTTGCAAGTACTCATGGGTGTTTGCATGCGCATCTCTCTGTCTCTCCCTCTTCTCTCTCTTTCTATCTATCTCCCGCTGTGACGTACACACATCGTGTATGGATCGTAGCTTAAATTGCACAAGCTCGACTTCCGAGCGCAAAGCACTGTAGGTGTGCGAGTGGTACTGCAATGGATTTCGGCTATGAATTAATTAGTTGAGGTCTGAGGTTTGTATGGTTTCTTCCGGCTATGCTCTAAGTTAGTTGAGGCCTAGGGGTTTTATGGCTTGCTTTGGGTTCAGAGTTGTAGGTCCTGGTCTGTACAGTACAACTCACCCCGCAAGGGAAGACATTGACTAGCATCCAGGAATCCAGTGATACTTATTAGCGGTAATTAGTTTTGATGCTCAAAGACGTAGTTGGCCCATGCCTGCTTCAGCTGGCTGTAGCACTTATAGAGCGTTTATTCAGTATCACAAAACCCTAAGCCCTAAACCACAAACCCAGTCTTGGTCGTTGTGCACTACATGAGCAATGGTCGTGTACAGGTTCTTTTTTCACTGTGTGTGCTACTCTAGCAGGCGGTCGGAAAGGGCATGTCAACACACATTTAAAACAAAAGCAGTCTTAGGATTTGGGGCTCAGGGACACAATTTGCCTCAGACATGAGGCTGGCGGTTTCTATCGAGACTCGAAGAAGGAGCGGAGTTGCGGGTTTTGGGCTTAGAGTTTAGGTTTTAGGGCTGCTAGGTCGCCCAGTAACAGTAGTATCCCTGTACTATGCCCTTTGTATTTTGGGGGTCTTCTGGAAGTTGAACAACCCTACGTAGGCCCTTCACCCATAGGAAAAGGGACCGGGGACTGTTATCTCACCTGGTTTAGGATTTAGGGTTTATGGGAGTTGAACCCTAAACCCTGAAGTCTTGAGAACTACTTGTGGCTGTCAGGGCATCTTTGGGGCTGCTTTGGTGACCGGTGTCGGGCTGCCCTACATCCGAATTCAATCCTTAAGAGACTGTTACACAAGGGGGGTTAAGGTCTAAGGCTTTAGGGTTCATCATCATCGCCATCGCCATCGCCATCATCATCATCATCATCATCCCATCATCGTCATCGTCATCATCGCCATTACTATGAAAAACAGCTTCCAGTATGACAGTTGGCCTTATGGTAGCATCCCTAAACCCACTAAACCACCAAACCCTAAACCCAAATCCACTAAGCCACCAAACCCTAAACCCAAATCCACTAAACCACCAAACCCTACACCCAAATCCACTGAACCACCAAAGCCCAAACCATAACACCTTGAAGTCTAAACCCCGAAGACAATTTTTGGCAGCAGACTTACCGGAAATCCACGGCATTAGAACTCTAATCCTTCAGGGTTTAGGGGTTTAGGATTTAGGGGTTTATGGTTTAGGATTTAGGGTTAGGGGTTTAGGGTTTAGGGGTTTAGGGTTCAGGGTGTAGGGTTTGGGGATTTGGCGGGTTTGGGTTGTTATACTTCGTTCCCCCATACCCAGCCTTTATACTTGTTGTATTCTTATTACAATTTAGTATATTCGTCTGAAAGTTTAACCTTTTTTCCGTGGCTTCTTGGGGAAGCAAGCTAAAACCTGAGCCCTAAACCCTAAACCCTAAACCCTAGACCCTAAACCCTAAACCCTAAACCGTGACTGCTGTTTACGCAGGACCCGAAGGCCTTGCTGAGCGCCAGCCGATGGTCTCTGGACGGCGACCGTTTAGCCGCGCCTCGGTTGCATGGTATGGTTTAGGGTCTAGGGTTTAGGGTTTTGAGGTTCAGGGTTTAGGGCTTTAGGGTTTGGGGATTTAGGGTTTAGGGTTTAGGGTGTGGGGGTTTAGGGTTTAGGGTTTAGGGCTTAGGGTTTAGGCTTAAACTATAAGGGGGCTTATTTTTATGGTCTGTACAGGCCCGTTATAACCGTAAGTTAGGGTTGAGGGCTTAGGGTTTAAGACTTTAAAGTTTAGGGTTTAGGGCATAGGGTTCAGGGTTTAGGGTTTAGGGCCTGCTTGGAGGCCCAGGGGACTTAGTAAGTCGGTTTTAAGAAGGGTTGTAATTGGGGTAGCTCCAGTTAGGGTACTTATAAGTCCACTTATAACCTACTTACTAAGTCCCCTGGGCCTCCAAGTATTGGTGTCTTAGGATCTAGGGTTCAGGGTTTGGTCGTTTAGGTGCTGAAGGGTTTTAGGTTGTAGTGACGCCTTCTGAAAACCTATCGGCGCCTTTTCAGAAGCAGAAGAAGAATGATAGTAATAATAAGATTCCTGACATTAGTAATAATAGGAGGAATAGTACCAACAATGATACTGATAGTAATCATGATGGGGGGCTCGGTTGTCCAAGACTGCCTGTACGAGGACTTCTTGGCCGCTGCTCTCCGGCCCGTCGCTGAAGAGGCGAAAACGCTGTGGGGCTTTGGGTTCAAGGCTGTTAGGGTTTAGGTTTGTGTGGTTCGGGTTTAGCGTTGATGAGTGGTGATCAGGGTGTTGTTTTTGTCAGCATGTGGCAAGCCACATGGCCGCAACGCCATCCTTCCTACCTTTCAGCAAAGCTCAAGAGCACGCTGTGGGGTCTCCTTTTGGGGGTTCTATTGAGCTGCCGGATTTCGGGGTTTCCAAGTTGGGTTTAGGGTTTAGGGTTTAGGGTTTAGGGGTTTAGGGGTTTAGGGGTTTGGGGTTTAGGGGTTTCGGGGTTTAGGGTTTAGGGATTTAGGGAAGTTGGGTTGTCCCTCCTGGAGGTCCTGAAATAACCCTTTTGAAGGTCCAGGATATAGGGCAGCAACAGGGCAAGGGCAACCGCGGCAGGAGTCCTGTAGACATCTTCGAGACATACCAGAGCCTTCTTGTAACATGGGGTGGGGTTGAAGATCACCCAAGAACCTTATTTACTCCACAACGCTAAACCCTAAACCCTATAAAGGCTTCCTTAAATGATGAACCCCCAAAGTATATCGCGACCACCTGTAGTTAAAGCTGCAATCTAAGTGTTGCAAGCCGTCAACCCAGACCTCCAAGCTCCTAAGCTTCCCTAAGCTGCCCTCAGCCCCTGAACGGTTTAGGGTTTAGGGTTCCCTGAGCTGCCCTCAGTAAGGACCCCCCCTCCCTAAAAAAAAAATAGTATTGGTAATTATTTAGGCCCATACATAAGTTTGAAGCTGAGACTGAAATCACAGATGCCGGACCCTTCGGAATATTCAGTGCATACCTGGTCAGACATTCTCCATGAAATCGCCATGGCGATGGACGACCATACCTTCACCCAAGGGGTCACTGACTCGTGGACTCACGAGGACATGGTGACCCTTTATAACCAAGGTGTCGGCGAGAACTCGGTCTTGCTGTAATGTAGGGGCCTTAATAATTAGAATAGGGTGTTGGGGGTTCCTTTTTATATTTATAGTAAAAGATACCCCCAAACCCTATTCTAATTATTGAAGCCCCTACATTAATCTGAATGCAGCATCTCAAGAACAAAGGTCACGCGTGGTTCCCGAAGCCCACAAGTAACAACGTTTGCAGCGAGCTTGTTGCTGCCCACGCGGCACACATGCTGCAAGTGACGTAATTTTCTAGTCAAGGCCTGCTCATGGCATGCTGCATGCTTGCCGGTCAATAGTGGACTACGTCTCTGGCAATTCAGGTCTTTCTGCAGCACAGAGGTTTCTCTAGGTAATATTCCGGTGTGCAGCGCTGAACAGTACTCGGACAGGCTTTAGGGTGTCTCTTTTGCGAGGGCAGGGCTCTCTAAGGTGCAGTTCCCACCCTGCTAGAAACAGAAGCAATCGCACTCTTCACCCCTCTCGTCTCCCCTCATGGGTCCATGAACATTCCCGTCATATTATAGTCCCCTTCCGAAAGACCAGGTAACCCATATGACTACTCTCCGAATCCCAAGCTTCTTGTGTTTTGTTTTTACACTCTGTCGGTTTAGGGTTTAGGGTTCAGGGCCAGCCTTCATTCTTCAAGGCGCTAGTGTAACCCTACACCCTATATGAACCCTAGCCCTAAACCCCCTAAATGGGTAGTTTTCTAAATTAGGGTCCTTTTTAGGGGTCATTATGAACTACCTAAATCGTGACCTAAAGAAGGACCCTATTTTTAGAGAACTACCTAAATCGTGAC